TTCCTGGCTTAAACTTTTATTAAAAGTTATTTACTTTTTTTCTTTTTTTTTTCTAAAAATAGGGATAAATAAATTTTTTTTTTTTTTTTTTTTTTTTTTTTTTTTTTTTTTTTTTAAGGTTAAAGTGAGCTCCTCGATTCAGCACCCAGAAACTCCTCTGCACATTTCTGGTTTCCACCTGCCCTCCAAGGTAACCCAGCCAGGAGCCCTGCTCCTCAGTCTCTTTTCTACACACAGCACAGATCTGAAGTAAGAGCATGGTTTTCCAGCTCTGTCTGATCTGGCTTAGATGCAGTATAGTTTCACCTGTGGACCTCTCAGTTTTCAGGTTTTTAAGCTATTCTAGGGCTGGGGTTATAACTGCTCAGTGAAGAGTGCTTGGTATATGTGAGGTCCTGGGTTCAATCCCCTGTACTGAAAAAAAAAGAATTGTTTCTTTTCATCTCAGCCTAAACCTGCACAAGAAACAGTAGATTGTGGAGACCCAGCTGATGGGCCCAAGAACCTGGAATTCAGCTCCTTCATGTTCTGGAGGAACCCTCTGCCTAACATCGATCAGGAGCTTCAGGAGCTGCTGGTAACACCCTGGTTTGCATTCTCCTGGTGACAACCCTGGAGTTTCTCCACATGGGTCCTGTGGGCTGGGAATTTGCCAGTGTCGTTAATGTTTCAGATTGATAAAGGGGAGGAGGAGGAAGAGGAAGAAGAATTTGAAGACAGTGATGATGATGGGGGTGGGTGGATAACCCCTAGCAACATCAAGCAGATCCAGCAAGAGTTGGAGCACTGTGACATCCCAAAGGATGTGCGAGTTGGCTGTGTAACTACAGACTTTGCCATGCAGGTGGGTGCTATGGACCCCTGCAAACCCTGGGGTGTGGGTACAAAGCTGCTTGCTTCTAGTTCCAGAATCTTTAGTAATTGTTCATTTTGTTTGAGGGTTGATGTATTTTAGCAACAAAATTTTCATATGTTGTTTGTGCTTTCAAGATTTTTTTATTCCATTTATGTAGTGTGTGTGTGTGTGTGTCTGTGTATGTGTGCGCGTCATGTGTTGTGGTGCATGTGTGAAGGTCAGAGGTTCCTAGGGATCAAACTCAGGTTGTCAGACTTGGTGACAAGTGCTCTTGCCTACTGAGGCTTTATGTGTATGAATGTATCACCTGCATGAATGTCGTGCAATGCCCATCAGTGTCAAAGGAGGGCATCAGATCCCCTGGTACTGGAGTTAGGGATGGTTGTTAACCCAGATGTTTGTTTTTAACCCTTAACATGAGCAGTTGATGTTTTTATTCCTTTTGTGTATGTAATGTTGGACTTAGCTAGGTAGACAGGATTTCCAGCCCAGAAATTAGAATGTTTTCCCCTGGCAGAACAGATGTCTGTGTTGAGAAGCATCACCAGTGACAAAGCCAGGCCTCAGCCCTTTTCATACAGAAACCTGGGTCTCTGTCTTTGGTACATGTCTTAAGAGACATTCCAGTGGCTGGAGAGATGGCTCAGTGGTTAAGAGCACTGGCTGCTTAGAGTTCAGTTCCCAGCACCCACATGGCAGTGCACAACCTCCTGAAACTCAGTTCTAGGGAATCTGACACCCTCTTCTGTTCTCTGTGGGTATTGCACATACACATGGACATAATTAAAAATAATAATAGGGTCTGGAGAGATGACAGCTAACTCCAAAACACCAGTTCCAGGAGATCCAGTGCCCTCCTCTGACCTCCTCAGATATTACATGATATGGATGCACTTACACATGTAGGGAATACACTCATACACATAAAATAAAATAATAATAATGATTTTTTTTTTTTTGGTCTTTTTGAGACAGGGTCTCCCTGTAGCCCCAGCTGTCCTGGAACTCACTATGTAGACCAGGCTGGCCTTGAACTCACAGAGATCACCTGCCTCTGCCTCCCAAGTGCTGGGATTAAAGGCATGCACCACCACGCCCGGCTATAATAATGAATTTTTTTTAAAAGGCAGGGATTATGACCCAAACCAGAACATACCAAATTCCTGTAACTGATTACAAAATGATTGTCAGGTTAGTATTAAGGCTTGTTTCAATTCTTTAACTTGTTGGTTCTAGAATGTTCTCCTGCAGATGGGCCTACACGTGCTGGCAGTAAATGGCATGCTGATTCGAGAGGCCCGGAGCTATATCTTGCGCTGCCATGGCTGTTTCAAGTACGTAGCTGATGGTTGGACTGGGGCCTCTTTGTTGAACACTCTTTCTGCACCTGCTGGGGACTCCCAGAAAAAGAATCCTGTCTACATACGTACTTTCCTTCCACCAGAGTGCTAAAACCCTTAGGACAGAGGTTGCCCGTGACTTGTTGTCCCATCTGTCCCCCTTTTTTTCTCTGAGTGGCCTAGAATTAAAGATGTGGATTTTGAAACAAAGGACACTCATTTTCTAAAGACAGCCAGGATTTGCTTTGAAATGATGCAGGAGGATAGAGTGTAGGCAGCGATGAAACAGGACGACATGTGAGTCGTTCGTGGAGCTGGGTGATGGGGGTCCTTGTGTTTGTGAGTCTACTTCATGCCTGATATTTTCTGTTCACATACATACAAAGTAGGTTGAATCCAGAGTGTATGGGTTCACATGTGGATCCCTCCTGCCTGTGTGACTCTGCAGGCTTTGATGGTTGGTTGCCTTACTAGTTCTTCAAGATTTTCCTAAAATTGAAAGGTTTGTTGTGAGGAATTAGGAACATAAGTCATAGCAATTTAGCAGAGTATTTTGCTTATAGGAAATAATCCCTTTGGTGGGCTTCATTGACCTTTCCCTCATTTCTTATTTCTGTGGGTGTTGGTGGTGTGGGCAGGCCCTGGAGGCAGGTTGGAATAGAAGAGATAGTCACAGCCTTGCTGTGGAAGTGTGGTTCCAGGACTTGGGCTGGGCAGCCTCCCAGACATTCGACATGTGTGGGCTGGATCTGTGGACATCTTGTAGATATGTGATAGAGCCATGTTTTGCAGAAGCCTGGTGCAGGACAGTTCTGAAGCATTGAGATGTCTTACTGGGCCTGTGGAGTTGTGTAGGAGGTGGAGCTTCCTGCTAGGGCCTTGCTCCTCTGGGTGCTTCAAAGTAACCTCCCTCCTGGCCTGGAGCCCAGCCTTGCATGGCCCTCTGCAGCCCGTCACTCCTCATTAGTCACTCCTCAGAGCTGCCTCTAATTCTGAGCTCAGTGCAGTGTTTCCATCTCTTAGTCTTAAATGTTCCAAGCTTATGACAGTTCCTGGCTTCATAAAACCCTACTTCCACCATTGTCCTTTATACAAAGCTCTTAGCTTCTCAACTGAACACTCATTCTTAGAAAAGCTTGGAATGGTTCCCCTTGTGGGATTAGCCTCAGTGACTGACCAGCTTCTTATCAGAGAAGTTAGTCTACAGCACGTGTCTGGAAGCACTTGGTCACTCTTGGGAGACTTGGCAGGTGAGATTAGATTCTCGAGCCCTGGACCCAGCACTTACTTCCTGACTCTTGGGGTTGGTGGAGACCCCCTGAGAGCTGGGCCAAGGCTATATATCTGGCCCTTTTTCCTGTCCCAGGTCCTCCCTGGGAACTTGAGTAGATAGAGGCAGGGGCTCAGTGTCTGCCCTCAGCACCCACTTATCAGCCAAGGCAGCACTTACAGTGTTTCCTGTGTGATCCCTTCATTCTGCCTCCTGACAATGGCTTGTGTGGTTTAGAGCTGCACTGGCATGTGCTGTGAGGAAGATGGCAGGGGCTCTCATCCTGCAGGTCTTCCCATGCACAGCTTTCTGCCCCAGAGCAGGGCACTGCAGCTAGCTGTGGTTTCCCCACCTTCGAAATGGATAGTGCCAACTTCGATGTTGGTGTTAAGCTCAGCAGTGCCTGAGGGTTCAGTAAGCATCCCCAGTAAATAACGGCATCCTGCTTATTTTCTCTATGATTCGAACCTCATATCATTACCCTTTTCCCTTGAGCAAGAAGTTGCCCTCTGCTGCAGCTTTCAGCGTGTGACGACCCATAGAAGGGGATTTGGCTCCTGCATTTCTTGTCATTTCCTTCTCTGATGCTGGACACTCCTTGTTTCCTTGGGGTGTCCTGACTGATACTAATGTACAGTGTTTCTTTTGTGTCCTCCAGGACAACATCAGATATGAGCCGAGTATTCTGTGGGCATTGTGGGAACAAGACCCTGAAGAAGGTATCTGTGACCGTCAATGATGATGGCACACTGCACATGCACTTTTCCCGAAACCCCAAGGTGATGAACCCCCGAGGCCTCCGGGTAGGTGGCATGTCCCTGTGCCCCTAGCAACTTCAGAATCAAATGACTGGGGAGAGCTGGGAGGGGTGGTGCTTACCTGTACTTGGAAGGTGGAAGCAGGAAGATCAAGTGTTCTAGGTTAGCCTTGGCTGTAAGACTGTCTCAAAGGAAACAAAGACCAGAGGCAGAATGAAAACCAGTCCAGTTGTTCCCATAAGGCACTGGGTTGAAAGCCCGTGGTGTGGTCTAGGTACCCAGACAGAAGGGAGAGGGCAGGACGAGCCTCCTGTATGACTCTTGAGGAATTTAGATAAGGAGAAATTACCCAGTGAGTCCAGGCAGTGATGACTGCTTGACCTGGGGGGAAGGGATGAGCTCAGCAGGGGTCATGGGGCACACAGTGGAGGCTAGATTTGTGCGTACGTTTAAAGGATGAGCAGGATCAGTGCACGCTCCAACAGCCAAAGGAAAGGAAGGTGAAGGCCCAGCACAGGAGAGGCCTGGGATGCATGTGCAGTTGCTGTGCGTTCGTTTGAAAGATAGAGAAGAACAAGTGTGATGGCTCGTGCTTGTCATTCAGCACTTGGGAGGCTGAGGTGGGAGAATCGCTGCAAGTCTGAGGTCCACCTGGCTACAGTATGAAACACTGTCTTCATAAAGGGGAGAGGGGACTGGAGAGAGGGCTCAGTGGTTAAGAGCACTTGCTGTTCTTCAGAGGACATGAATGTTGTTCCCAGCACCCACATCAGGTGGTTCATAGTGCCCAGAGCTCTAGCTCTAAGCAATCTGACACCATCTTCTAACCTCCTTGGGCACTTAAACACACACACGAACTCACACATAGACACACATGCATACACATAATTTAAAATAATCTTGCAGGCTAGGTGTACATGCCTTTAATCTCAGCACTTGGGAGGCAGAGGTAGAGGATCTCTGTGAGATGGAGGCCAGCCTGGTCTACATAGTGAGTTCCAGGTGGACGGGGACCATGGGAGACCCTGTCAAAACAAACAAAAATCAGGAGAGAGGGGCTGGCGAGATGGCTTAGTGGTTAAGAGGAACTGGATGGCTTTGGCTCCCAGCACCCACATGGCAGCTAACTGTTCATAACTCCAGTTCCAGGGGTATGATAACCTTAAGTACTGCACACCACAAAAAACACTCATGCACATTTTTTTTTTTTTTTTTTTTTTTTTTTGGCCCTGGTACTCATTTGTAGAGCAGGCTGGCCTTGAACTCACAGAGATCCACCTGCCTCTGCCTCCTGAGTGCTGGGATTAAAGGCGTGTGCCACCACGCATAGTGGATAAAAGAAATAATTTTAAAAAATAGTTTATTTTTTATTTTACATGTATGAGTATATTGCTTGCATGTATGTAAATATACCCATGTGATGCAGTGCCTGCAGAGGTCAGAAGAGGAAGTCAGATTCCCTGGAACTAGAGTTACAGAGCGTTGTTAGCCATTGTGTGGGTGGTGGGAACTGAACCTGGGTCCTCTACAAGAGCAGCCAGTGCTTTTAACTGCTGAGCCATCTCTCCGGCACTAAATAATTTTTTTTTCAATCGGGAGAGATGGATTGGGACAAGGGATTGTAAGAGTGAAGCTGCCCTGATATTCTGCTGCTCAGCTCTACTCCTGGCCTCCCTTTAGTCTCTTTTAAGCTGGAATCATTTCCCTGTCTCTGTCTTTTACAACCAGTCTGGCTGCAGATGCAGCAATCCCCCTGCCTGTGAAGGACTACAGCTGTGCACACCACACTCAGCCTCAGTGCCTTTTTTTGTTTTTGAGACAGGGTCTCCCTGTAGCCCCAGCTGGCCTGGAACTCACTATGTAGATCAGGCTGGCCTCGAACTCACAGAGATCCGCCTACCTCTTCCTCCCCAGTGCTGGGATCAAAGGTATGTGCTACCACACCATGCATTCAGTGCGTATTTTTGGTGGGACACCTTGTTGAGGATGTTAGGTCCTCAGGGTAGAGGGCACATGATGTTTAGGTGATACTTTGATGACATGGTTAAGGTGGTTTATAATCACTCTGGATAAAATTCCTAAATTTTCAGGGGGCAGAGGCAGGCAGATCTCTGTGAGTTCAAGGTCAGCCTGGTTTCCATGGTGACTTCCAGGCCAACCAGGGCTATGTAATGAGACCCTGTTAACCCTGTCTCAAAAAAACAAAGCAAAGGATAAATGGGGGCTGGAGAGATGACTCAGTGGTTAAGAGCACTGGCTGCTCACTGGTTCGATTCCCAATCTCAGGGGATCCAGCACCCTCTTCAGTCCTCCTTGGGCACACATGGTACACATACATGCATGCAGGCACAACCTTCATACACATAGAAATAAATAATCCTAAAGCAAAAAGTTTCTAAATCCATTATCACAGTGTTCGTTATAAAATGATAGTTTATTATCTAGTTTTTATTTTGTGGCACTGCATCACACCCAGGGTTTCACCCTCACTATGTAAACGCTACCACTTAGCTACAGCCATAGCCCGCTTCTTTCCTTTGTTTGTGTGGGGATGTCCATGCCCATGCAGAGGCCAGAGGCAGACATCAGGTGTCTTCCTCTATTACGCTCCACATTTTTGAGACAGGACCTGTCATTAAACCTGGGATTCACCATTTTAGCTAGATTGACTAGAGAGCCCCAGGAAACCTCCTGTTTCTGTGCCCTGCCCCCCCCCAAGCACTGTATTATATGTGGGTGCTGGGGACTGAACTCAGGTCCTCACACTCCAACAGCAAGCACTGAACCATCTACACAGCTTTGCCCCCTCCCACCCACCCACCACCTTTAAGATAGGATCTTAAGTTGCCCAGACTGCCCTTGAATTCCTGATCCTTCTGCTTTAGCTTCCCAAGTAGCTGGGATTCCAGGCCTGCTCTCCCTGCCCTGGCTTGTTCCTGTTTGTTTATATGAGCACTCTCTCATGATTTTCATGTTAGTCTGAAGGCTATGATCTACACTCATTTTGAGGCTCAAGTAGTTTCGTAGTTGGCCAGCAGGAGTCCCTGTGAACCACATCCTTATGGCTGTTCTCAGTCATTCTTTGCACACATCCCTATTCTTACTGACAAGGTGCATTATTTCCAGGCCCTCAGACTCCCTTGTCCCTGCTCCAGAATCAGTCCTTTCTCTTAGTTTTTGTTTTATTTTGTGTTTTGCTTTGTTTTTTGGTTTCATTATTTTTATGTGTATGAGTGTTTTGCTTGCATGTATATAAGTATACCACATGCGTGCAATGCCTGCAGAAGCTAGAAGAAGGTGTTGGATTCCCTGGAACTGGAGTCACAAACAGTTGTTAGCTGCTATGTGGGTGCTGGGCAAACCGTGGTCCTTTGGAAGAACAGCAAGTGTTAGTATCCACCGAGCAAGCTCTCCAGCCCACTTTGCTTTGTTTTGAGGCAAAGTCCCAGGTATCCTCCTGTCTCCACCTCCACAGTGCTGGAATTGTAGGTGTGTGACAACACTCCCTATTGAAGAGGTGCTGGGGGTCAAGCCTGGGACTTCATACATGCTAGACAAGCACTCTACCAACCAAGCCACAGCCCCAGCCCCTCTCTCAGAAGCTTAGGCTTAGGTAGACTGCTAGCTTTTGCTAGCTTTGAACTTGTATAGCCAAGGAGGACCTTGACCTGGTCCTCCTACCTCTGACTCCCAAGTACTGGGATTACAGGTGTGCAACCACTGTGCCCACCCAAGAATGCTTTTTAGTAGCAACAAATGAAGCCTTGACTATACCTTAGTTTCAACCCAGCACCATGCCAAGCGTGGTGGTGCATGCCTGTAGTCCCAGCACTTGGGAGGCAGAGGCAGATGGGTCTCTGTGAGTTCAAGGCCAGCCTGGTCTACATAGTGAGTTCCAGGACAGCTCAGGCTACAGGGAGATCCTGTCTCAAAAAGATCGAAAAAAAAAATAAAATCAATCAACCCAGCACCACAGAGTGCATTCTAGCCCTCCTTCCCACATTCATAAAACCCTTATTCATACCATTTCCCATAATAGTATCCTCACTCCTTGGCACACAGAGTTCTGTGTCTGCCTGCATGAGGATCTGAGGGGACAGTCCAATGGACAGCATCTGGACCTGTGAGCATCTGCCCTGTTCTAATAACTTTTCCTCTTGCTTGCAGTATTCTCTGCCCACTCCCAAAGGGGGCAAATATGCCATCAACCCCCATCTCACCGAGGATCAGCGCTTCCCCCAGCTGCGACTCTCCCACAAGGCCAGGCAGAAGACCAACGTGTTTGCCCCTGACTACGTAGCTGGGGTATCTCCCTTCGCAGAGAATGACATCTCCAGCCGCTCAGCCACCTTGCAGATCCGGGACAGCACCTTGGGAGCGGGCAGGAGGCGCTTGAATCCCAATGCTTCCAGAAAGAAGTTTGTAAAGAAAAGGTGAAGTGCAGGCCCTGGCAGGAAGAGTGGATTGTGGGCAACCGGGGCTGGTGCCTGGTCTCTAGCCATGCTGTCCACAGAACCGGCTACATAGAAACCGAAGGTCTAGCCTCAAAGTGCTGCTCAAGACTCCTTCATGCTGAGTGGGGTCACAGTGGAACATTGCTGTCCCTTGGCTTCCAGATCCAGGACTTCATGGGAAGGGGAGCTTGAAAACAGAACAGTGCACTGGAGCTGACATTGACCCTTTCGTTCAAAGGAAACAGTGTCCAGATGATAGTATTTTTCTAATAAACTTTGTTGTAAGCTCCTGGGCATTTAATTTCTTGTGTCTTTGGCGAATACGAATACTAAACACCATATGCCTGAGGACCAAGTATGTAGATTATTTATTTTTGGTCTTCTTGAGACAAGGTCTCCCTGTAGCCACAGCTGGCCTGGATTCGCTAATAGAGACCAAGCTGGCCGTGAACTCACAGAGATCCGCCTGCCTCTGCCTCCCGAGTGCTGGGATTAAAGGCGTGTGCCACCATGCCTGGCAATGTAGATTATTTTTTACCAGAAATTATATTTATACAATAAAATTGAAGCACTTCTGTTTTCTTCTTTTTAACCTCTGAAAGGAAACAAGTTGAGTGATGCCGGAAAATCCAGGGTCGTGAACTCACACGGCCGTTCATCTGGATCCACATTTGACACATTCTGTCTCCTTTCTATGAAGATGGAGCAAAAATGTCTCCTAAGGAAAGGGTGATCTTTTACATAAATAAGGCTTTTTATCATTCAGGAAATACTAGCATACCATGTAATATGTACTCTGCCCTGGAAAGTAGCCATGTCAGTATGCAGACATCAGTTGCATATTCTTACCGCTGCCTAAATCTCTATCCTGAAAAGCTACCAGGTCAAGCATTTAACCAAATGATAAGATCTGTGTTAAGTAGTTAATCTACAGTATTTCCAGCGGGTGTTAAATGATTTGCCCAGAATCATGGATTGTCACTAGCTAGAGCTAGATTTCAGTTTAGTCCAAGTGTGCTGTTAAGCCATGAATGCACCTGTGGAGATTGTGAGCCATGTGCTGACCACTGGGTATGTGAATCTCAAGCACTCAGCTGCCTGCTGAGGAGCTGCTGCCATTGGAGTCCAGGATGAGGCCACACCTGCCCTTCCCATTTCTCCTCACACTGTTGGACCAAACATACAGGAAAACAAGGCAACACGAAAGCTGCTTTTTGTCTTACCACAAGGAAATATTTCTGGGCCAGCACAATCCTATGCAAGCATGGTGACCTGAGTTTAATCCCCAGAACCTACAAAAAGCTGGAAGGAGAGAGCTCACTCTATAAAGCTGTCCTACCTCCTATATACACCCTACATGCAATAATAAAATTGTTTTGAATTTATTTTTACTTTATGTGTATGAGTGTTTTGCCTGTATATATGTAAGTGTACCACATGTGTGCAGTGCCCACAGAGGCCAGGAGAGGGCATTGAAGCCCCTGGAACTGGAATTAAAGTTGTTAACTCCCATGTGGGTGCTTGGGAACCAAGCCCAGTTCCTCTCCTAGAGCAGCCAGTGCTCTTAACCACTGAGCCATCTCTCCAGCTCCATTTTTGGTATTTTTGAGACAGGGTCTGCCTGTAGCCCCAGCTGGTCTGGAACTGCTATGTAGACCAGGCTGGCCTCTTCTGACAGATTTGCTTGCTCCCTAAATGCTGTGACTAAAGGTGTACACCACCATACCTGGCTGTTTGTTTTTTTGAGACAAGTTCTTAAATAAGTACCCCGGACTGGCTTGGAACTATGTAGACCAGACTGTCTTGAACTCACAGAGATCCTCTCTCTCCCAAGTGCTGGGATCAAAGGTGTGTGTGGCCATGCCTGGCTAAGCTGTCACTAAAAGAGGCAGCAGGAGCCGTGCCCACACTATGATGGTGGAGTCAGCAGGTGTAGTCAAGCCAGACAGTGAGGCTAGATAGGGTCAGTGGCCCAAAAGGAGTGCTGAGATTTGCTGCACACACTTCAAACGGCAGAGCAGTGCCGAACCGCAGGGGTTAGATGCCGATTCTCCGTCACTGAACATCTCCAGGTGAACAAAGCACCCTCGATGCACTGGGGAACTTACACAGCTCATTAACACACACATGAGCTCTGCCTGCCACACTGAGATGGTCCTCACTGGAAAGGGACAGATTATTCTTGAGCCAGAAGAGGGCAAATAATTTTAAGGATCTAGAAAGGTGTCTCAGTAGTAGAACACTTGCCTAGCATGTGCAAGCAAGGCCCCGATTCAGTGTCCAGAACTACAGAAAAGGTAGGGGTGGGGGTACGAAAGGAGGGAGTGAGGGAAGAAGGAAGAGAGGGAAGGAGGGAGGGAGGGAAGGACAGAAGGATAGAGGGACAAAGGGAGGAAGAGAAAGACCAAATACGATGGCTCAGTTGGAAGACTTGAAGCAGGAGGATCAGCAGTTCAAAGGCAGCCTGAGCTACATAGCAAGTTTGAGACCAGCATGGACTACATGAGACCATGTCTCAAAAAAGACTAAAAAGGAAAAAAAAAAGTAGTTGTCATGGACAGGGGCTGTAGCTCAGTGGTAGAGGGCTTACCTAGTGTGTACAAGGTCCCAGGTTCAATCCTTGGCACTGAGGAAAACAAACTCTGGGATGTTTAAGAATAATAGCCCTCAAATTATCCGTGGTTACCCCAGCACATAGGAATGGAAAGAAACTTGGAGTGGAGATGGCCCATGTGTCTAGACAAATGTGTCTGTGTGTTCATGTATTTCGAGGAAGCCTGAATTAGGACATTTTCATCTTTATTTTTTTTTAGACTGTCTCATTATGTAGCCCAGGCTACTCTCAAGCTTGAACTCTTCCTGCCTATGCCTCCCAAGTGCTGGAGTTATAGGCTGTCCTACCACACCCAGCAAAGCATCCTGTATTGAGTTTAAAACACTGATTAAGCAGAAATTTCTCCTGTAATGACATTCATATGTTATGAAGGGATGTTTTTTCCTATGTAGCAGATTAAATTTTGGCTCCACCTCACAGAAAGTAAGATAAAGATGGGACCCAGTTGTCATTCCTTGGTCTTCTTAAAGAAGCTCTTTGGCTTCATGCAAATTTCAGCAAGATACCAAAACTCAGGGGATCTGATAGCATGGTTGTTTCCTGTGCAGTAAGGATGGTGGTGGGAGATAGGAGAGGAGAGGACAAGGCTTAGAGCAGAAACTTTTCTCCCCTGATACTGAGGCCGTTTCCTCCAGGGGTACTTGGCTGGCACTCCCAGGAACAGTTGAGGACAACAGGTACCCAAGTCCCCAGACAGGTCTGAGAATGGCTCTGAGCTAATGTACAAAGTCCATCAACACAGCTCAGAGAAAAGCAAGGGACTTTGGGGATCGCCCCTTGGGCTAAAAAGCAGGTGCCCACGTGGACAGTGTGTATTAACGGCAACTAATGAGGCTGTTTGTACATTCACCAGGAGAAGGACAAGGGCTCCTGAGATTCACTTACTCCTGCTTTTTATTTCCAGATAATGAAGCCAGTCAACAAAGCTCCACAGCTCCTGATTCCAGCCTGCCTGAGAGAATGTGTGGGAGGACCCTAAGAATACCCATTTTGGTCCATACTCAAGGCCTACTGCAAACACACTCTTTGGATGAAGGCCTGTTTCAGAAGAGTTTGGCGTTTGTATGATCTTGTAATGACCACAAACTAAATAAAACAGGATGGAAACTCAAAGACAGAGCAGCCCCAACCCACATTTTTACAGGGGAGGCAACCGAGACTCAAAGAGCATTAGCTGACCTGAGCTGAGCTCAAGAATTCTTTGGGACTGGGGCTGTAGCTCATACATGCTCACCTAGCATGTATGAAACTCTGGGATCAAACCCCAGCATCGCATACACCAAGCACCAAGGTACATCCCTGTAATCCCAGCACTCAGGAGGTGAAAGCTGGAGGATCAGAGATTCAAAAGTCCTTCATTCTTCGCTACATGGGGAGATCAAGGCCAGCCTCCCCAAATCCTAGGCTACATAAGACCCTGTCTCAAAATTGTATTTTATTTTAAATTATGTGCATGTATGTGTGTCTATGTGTGGATATGTACATGTGAGTGCAGGTGCTTTGGGAAGCCAGGGGCGTCAGATCCCCTGGAGTTACAAGTGGTTATGAGTCACCTGATATCGGCGCTGGGAACTGAACTTAGGTCCTCTGGAAGAGCAGTACGTGCTCTTAACCACTGAGCCATCTCTCTAGCCCAGTTCCCAGAGTCTAAGGCTCTTTGCCAGTGTCAGTTATGTCAAAAGGTGAAGGGACACACAGGCCGAGAGTTGGTGTATGCGTGTGCACAATATGGCTGAGTCCTCCTTGATTTGCTGGGCCATATATGGCTTTATGAACTCCCATATTCTTGGGTTCTTGGGATATTCTCTCTGGTTTTGATCTGACAAAGAAGCTGTTTTGAAATAAGAGGTTAAATGAGCACACAGACAGTGGTCTTGTATGTCTGATCATATACATGTTCTATTAAAAGAAGGTCCCTAAACCGTGATCCTGACATTTTAGTTGACTCCATTAAATATTTAACTTATTATTTTTATTTTATGTGTATGAATATATTACCTACATGTGTGTAAGTGCACTCATGTCATGCAATGCCCAAGGAGGTCAGAAGAAGGTATCAGTTCCCCTGGAGCTGGAGTTATAGTTGTTAGTCGCCATATGGTGCTGGGGATGGAACCTGGGTCCTCTGTAAAAACAACTGGTACTCTTAACCACTGAGCCATCTCTCCAGCCCCAGGTGACCCTTTCAAAAGTCATTACAAAAAGATACAGCAGGAGTGTGGTGACAGGGTCCCTCCCTGACCTTGGCTACAATAAGCAAGCGTGGCTCCGCGCTCCAGTCCAAAGCAGACACTGTCTTGAGCTGTGACTGTTTGAGCTGGGACAGCACTCGTTCTTTCTACAACACCCCCTCAGCGAATCAGTTTTTAAAGTTAAGGCTTACAGGGCTTGAAAGACAGCTCAGTGGCTAACAGTGCTTGCTTCCAGAAGACCAGTTGGGATCCCAGCACCCACAGCAGATGGTTACAACTACCTGTAATTCCATCTTCAGGGGGATCCAACACCCTCTTCTGGCTTCCTCAGGCACCTGCACATGCATGGTGCTCACACAGACATATAAATAAAAATTAATTAATTAATTAAGACTTAGGCTATCAAGCACGTATAGCACACCCCACCCTTTCTTTTGCTGGGCTTTTAAAAACTCGTGTTTAAGTTAAGTACTATATTTTGTTTCAACTGAGAGTAAAACTATTAAAGAACAGGTTTAAGATTAGGGATTACTTAGAGCTATATAGAAAATAATCAGATGAATGGTCTCTTTAAAAGGTGACAAATGGGGGGCTGAAGAGATGGCTCAGCGGTTAAGAGCACTCGCTGCTCTTGCAGAGGACCCAGGTTCAATTCCCAGCACCCACATGAGAGCTAACAACCATTTGTAACTCCAGTTCCAGGGGATCCGAGGCCTTCTCCTGACCTCCATGGACACTGAGCAACAAGGGTGCACTTACACATGCAGACAATACACTCACACACATAAAATAAAAATAATAAAATATTTTTCAAAAGCTGACAAATGCTAAATCTAATAAAGTTATAAAGTCTTAGGGCTTCTTAACATGGATATGTTTTATGTGTGCTATGTGCATGTGTATTTTGTGTTATGTCTAAATGTATGCTTATGTTGAAGTACTCTTTACATGTTACCAAATTGGCTTGTAGGTTAAGTGAGCACTCACATACATTAAAACTGTGAAATTAGCTGGGCGTGGTGGCACACGCCTTTAATCCCAGCACTTGGGAGGTAGAGGCTGGCAGATCTCTATGAGTTTGAGGCCAGCATGGTCTCCATAGCGAATCCAGGCCAGCTAGGGCTACAGGGAGACCCTGTCTCAAAAAGACCCCAAAAAAAAACCCTGTGAAATTAGCTGGGTGTGGTGGCCAAGCCTTTAATCCCAGCACTCCGGAGGCAGAAGCAGGTGGATCTCTGTGAGTTTGAGGCCAGCCTGGTCTACATAGCAAGTTCCAGGCCAGCTGGGGCTACAGGAAGACCCTGTCTCAAAAAGATGAGCTGTCCTGGAACTCGCTATGTAGACCAGGCTGGCCTCGAACTCACAGAGATCCGCCTGCCTCTGCCTCTGGAGTGCTGGGCTTAAAGGCGTGTGCCACCATGCCAGGCTCAAAAAGATTTTTAAAAAAACAAAAACAAAAAAAACCTGTGAAATTAGCCCAAATGCCTTTTAGTGCACATGAATTAAGTCTCTGACAAAGAAGTGAACTTGGATTTGTTGGTAGAAGTAGGGCTGTCTTCAAAATTGCTAACATGTGTTCTGCCCAGGCAGCTGGTCAACTGGGTTTATGTGTGTCTGTTAGATACTACAATATTCATTAATTTCTATGTGTCAAGACAGATTGCAGTTAGGCCTCATGAGATAGTTTCCACTCAGAGACTCTAACCTGCCTTTTTTGAGGCCACCGGGCCAGGAGACAATAGCAGTCTCATTGTGAGCCAAAAATAACACAGCTTTCAGGTTACCCACCTGACGCCTGTTACAATCTGGACCAACCTCTGCTCAGGCTACAATACCCCTGGCAGCCCTTCCCCTCTCACAGATACTCACAGGTCCTACTGAGGCACTGTCTGTGAATCTCTAGCTAACAGACTTCCAGGTGCCAGGCTTCTTGTCCTGGATCCAATGCCCAATTCTGTACTCCTTGGGCACTGCATGACATGGGTGCACTTATACACATACAGGCATGACACTCACAGACATAAAATAAATACATGTTACATGTTATAAAGAGTAAAAATACTATGAGTCTAGCCTGTGACCAGTAACAAGTCTCTGTTAGAAAAAGAAACCATTTTCCATCTTATTCAAATAAATGTCTTTTGTGTTCAAAGCTGTAGTTACATGGCTAATATGTTAATATATAAAGCTCTCCTTTTTTTTTTTGAGATTATGTAGCTTGGAACTGGCTATGTTGACCAGGCTGGACCAGAACGCATAGAAATCTGCCTATCTCTACTTCCTGAGTGCTGGGATTAAAGGTGAGCACCACCACAAAAGACTCTTCTGCCTTTCTTGCTTTCAAGATAATTTACTGTCCAAAATCTTTGTTGGAATATAACATTCTTTTTTTATATTTTATTATTTTTATCTTATGTGTATGAGTGTTATACCTGCATGTAGGTAAGTGCACCTGTGTTGTGCAATGCCCGTGGAGGACAGAAGAGACTGTTGGACCCCCTGGAACTGGAGTTACAGACAGTTGTTAGCTGCCATGTGGGTGCTGGAATTCGAACCCAGGTCTTCTGTAAGAACAGTCAGTGTTCTTAACTGCTGAGCCATCTCTCCAGCCCCTAAAGTATTTTTTAAACTCTAGAATGACACCCTTTCTTTGACCTCATAAGGTGTGCCTTTTGCTGGGGGTGCTACTCAGCTCCTGGGTGGGTAATATCCACTAAGAAGACTCGTCCTTGACAAGAAAAATTATGGGCAGCCACTGAGAGTCCACACTCCCTTCTCAAATCTCCTTGTTAGAACATCCTGGGAAGAAGCTGCTCTATTCACCTCCCCAAGCCAGACAGATGTCAGTCCTGGGCAGAGCTGGGAGGATTGCCAGGGTTCAAGGCTAGGGTGAGACCCTATCTTAAAATGAAAAAGAAGGGCTGGAGAGATGGCCCAGCATAAGAGCACTGGCTGCTCGTGCTGAGGACCTGGGTTTGGTTTCCAGCACCCACATGGTGGCTAACAACTGCCTTTAACTCCAGTTTCAGGAGATCCAGCGCCCTCTTTTTAGTTTCATGGGCATTTCATGACATTGGTGTACTCATATATAACTCATATATATATATATATATATGCAGACAAAACACTCATATGCATAAAGTATAAAAAAATAAATAATAAACAAAAAAAACCAGCTGGATGTGGTGGCCTTAGAGGAAAGTGAATCTCTGTTTCTTAAAGTGTGCGTGTGTGTGTGTGTATCTCTGTGTACCATGTTTGTGTGGATGCAAAAGGGTGCCCATGGAGACCTGAAGGGGGTGTCAGATTCCCTGAAGCTGGAGTTACAGGTGATTCTAAGTCACTCAGAGAAGTATACTGAGAACTAACCTGGAGTCCTCTGCAAGAGCAGCCAGTGCTCTTGACCCGAGCCATGTCTTCAGCCCCCTTTCTTGACTTCTTGACAGTAAGTCTCCTGTCTCTTCTGTAGGTTGGTCCTACCATAATTTTTACTTATGGAGACTTAAGACACTCTCTGTTCTATACTCTGATGTAAAACTTTGTGTAAAGTTTTTAAACATGCACAAGTCTCCGCTATTTAAATACTTCCCTCCTACACCAGGCTTGCCCTAGCTTGCAGAAGGGAAAACCCGACCATTTCTCCATTATCTGGCCACCAGGAGGAGGGTTGAGGGGAAGTGAGTTTTGCAGGATCGCCAAGAGCAGACTCTGAACCTCTCAAAGAAGCGAATTCCTTCTGAGCAGGACAAGTCTCCCTGGAGCGCTCAGGCCCTTCAAGAACATAGACCCAGTGATTCAGCAAATCTGAGCTGAAATAACCAGGCCCGCACTTTGCCCGCCCCATTCGGTGCAAGGCAAGGCGACTTCCCAGGGCTGAACAGCACAGGCAGGATGGGCAGGTCCAACAGAGCCCCAGCTTCCGTTGGAAACTTCCACTTTGTACAGAGGCCCCACGGCAGGGGCAGATGAGCTAGCCTCGACGTGCACCCAGATCCTCACAGCCCCTATCACCCCTGCCTCCTACTTCCACCTTCAGGGGTCTCTTCGGCAGCCCTAGCTGCCTCTCCTTTCCACTCACTCCGCTTTGGCGTCCTCCGCCGAGCGCCCCTGGGTGCGGGAATCCGGCCCCGCCTTACTGACCCCCCAGCTCAGTGGGCAGGGCTCAACCGACTGCATATAAAGCCGCAGGTGCTCTGCGAACCACTTACACAGTGCCCTGGCTGCAGCCCCTTAACATCCTCTGTCCCGGCCCTGGGCAGGTCGCCCGGGTAACCTGCGGCTCAGCCAATCAGCGCCTGGTACTACGCCTCACGCCTTCTCTTTCTCTTCTCCCCTCACGCCGCTGGACCCATGGCAGGTGAGTGCTGTGCCACCTGGACTCTGGAACCTGGTTCAACTGGGAGGAGGATGCAGGGCATGCCTTGAGTTTTGTTCCTTGACTCAAAGAGGAAAGTGAAGAGATTAGGGTCCTGGGATGCGCCTTGGAAGTCCCTGGTAGAAGGCGAGCGTCCGCAGCCCACTCCCCAACCGCCCACGGGCCAGTCAAGGGGGCATTGTCCCTGGAGCAGAAACTCCGTCCTGGCCATCTGAGGCCGTGGCTGGCCCACTCTCCACACCTCGTTTGGCCTAGAGACAGGGTCTCATGTGTCCCGGGTTAGCACTGAACTTGCTGCATAGCCAAGCTTGTCCTTGAACTTCTGGTCCTCTTGCCTCCACCTCCTTAGAGCTGGGATCACAGGCGCGCAGCAGCAGGCCTGGTTCATGCAGTGCAGGGGCTTCCTGCATACTAGGCAAGCACGCCTCCAACGGAGCTGCAGCTAAATACCAGGTAGTATTTCAAACATTTGGGAATAAGTCGCTAACAATTTGAAAATAAAAACAAGTGACTTCACTAAGAACTAGGGATTCTCAACATTCCCTTCAGGGCCATGCTGGGAGCTGAGTGTCCCAGGGTTTGAGGCTCCTCCCTCTTATATTTCTAGTAGGCTTCCCTTGATTTGCTTATTCTTCCTGCCAAACAGATCATATGGGTAATAAATCGACTGCTGCCATACCACCATTAAAACCCTTTCTTAGGCTGAGGCTAGCCTGGGCTGCCCTCAGTGAGTTCCAGGTCAGCCCAGAGTACAGTGTGAAACCCTGTCCCCGCCCAAAAAGTAAGACAAAATAAAAGAAACCAACAAAGCAAAATAAACCTCACTGTCTCATTGTTGCCGCCGGCCTTGTTACTCAGCTGTGTTGTGTTGGCATCCATAAAGACTTGAGGCTCCAGGTGGAAGCTTATGCAAACATAAGCTTTCAGATTGGCTTGAGGTGAGGCAGAATATGAGGAATGTTGAAGAGATGAGGACAGAGGCAGCTCTCAGTCAACAGACCAGATAACTCCAGCTGCCAACATTTAGGATCAGGGCCCTTGAGATGGCTAAGTGGATAGGGGTGCCTGCCGCCAATCCTAATGACCTGAGTTCGAGCCCCAGGACCCACGTGGTAGAAGAGAACTGACTCCTGCAAGTTGTCCTTTGAGGTTCACACATGTGTATGTACACACACACACACACACACACACACACGCGCACACACACACACACACGCGCACACACACACACACAAAATGGGTAAATGAAAATGTAATTTAAGAAAAAAAATCCAGGGATGGTGGCACAACGCCTTCAATCTCAGCATTTGGGAGGTAGAGGCAGGTGGATCTCTGAGTTCCAGGCCAGCTTGGTCTACATGGAGACCCTGTCTCAAAAAGACCAAAAAAATAAAAAATAGAATAGAAATAATAGGGGGCTGGAGAGATGGTTCAGCAGTTAAGAGCACTGACTGTTCTTGCAGAGGAACCAGGTTTGGTTCCCAGCACCCACATGGCAGCTAACAACCATCAATAACTCTGGTTCCAGGGAATCCAACACCCTTTTTTGACCTTCTTGGGCACTGCATGCAGGACACGGGTGCATTGACATACATGTTGGCAATACACTCATACACATAAAATAAAAATAAAATTTAAAAAAAGAGAGAGAATGGAGCTGGGCGTGGGTGGTACATGCCTTTAGTCCCAGCACTTGGGAGGCAGAGGTAGGTGGATCTCTGAGTTCCAGGCCAGCCTGGTCTACATAGCAGGTTCCTGAAAAGCGAGGGCTACATAGTGAGACCTTGTCTCAAAAAAACAAAAACACAACAAAACAAAAAAATTTAACCTCCACACTAATGTATCCCAAGTTCTCTGCACTGTGCCTAGTTCTTAATAGATGCCAGGTTAACAATTGTGGCATGGCTGAGAAGTTTGTTTGTGAGAACATTAGCATTTCAGAGGTTCAGTGGGGTGGAAATAAAGCACAGGTGCCAGGGAAAGAACAAGAGTTTTCAGGTTCACAGAACAGTATGGAGGTCAGAGGACAACTGTGTGGAGTTGATTCTCTCCTTCCACCTTTAAATGGGTTCTGGGGAATCAAAGACACTGGCTTGCAGGGCAAATGCTTTTACCCACTGAGTCATCTCACTAATCCCCTAAGTGGATTTTCATAAAGTCAAAATTTGTTATTTGGGACTGGAGAGATGGCTCAGCGGTCAAGAACACTGGTTGTTCTTGCAGAAGATCCGGGTTTGAATCCCAGCACCCACATGGCAGCTAACAACTGTCTGTAACTCCAGTCCCAGGGGATCCGACAGCCTCTTCTGACCTCCGCGAGCATTGCACTACACAGGTGCACTTACCTACATGCGGGCAATACATACATAAACATAAAATTTTTAAAAATTAAAAAATATTTTTACTTTTATTATTTTTACTTTATATGTATGAGTGCTTCGCCTGCTTGTATGTAAGTGCACAAGTGTCTTGCAATGAATGTGGAGGCCAGAGGAGAACATCGGAGGCCCTGGAACCGGAGTTACAGACAGTTGTTAGCCACCATATGGGTGCTGGGAACTGAACCTGGGTCCTCTGCAAGAGCAGCCAGTGCTCTGAATCACTGAGCCACCTCTCCAATCCTCCATTTTTATTTTCATTTTAAATATTTATTTTAGGGCCTGGAGAGATGGCTCAGTGGTTATGAACACTGTTCTTGCAGAAGACCCAGGTTCAAATACCAGCACCCATACGGCAGCTAACAACTATCCCTAACTCCAGATAGGAGTTGAAAAATATAAGAAAACTAAATATATTTTATTTAGTATTACTTTGTGTGTCTGTGTGTCTGTGTATCCGTGTCTAAGCATACATGCCAGAGTGCCTTTGTGTAGAAGGTTAGGGAAGGACTTTATGGAATCAGTTCTTTACATGAGTTCCAGGGATTGAACTCAGGTCACCAGGTTTTGACACCCAACTGCTCTTACCTGCAGAGTTGTATCAACCATATCATCGGCCCCATTTCCATTTTTATTAGTTGTGACCAAGTGGCAGGAGTTTGTGGTGGAGGTGCGTCACTTCATGGCAGACAGGAAGCAGAAGGAGAGAAGGACCAAGAAGATCTTCAAAGATTCATACCCTCAGTGACGGCTTCATCCAGCCGGGCCCCACTCCCCAAGTTCCCTCCCCCCGCAAAGTAGTGTCATAGCTGGGGACCAAATGTTCAACACATGAGCCTTCAGGGTCTTTTTTTCTCTGGAGACAGGGTTAGCTATGCAGCTCAGACTGCCCTGGAACTCACCATCTTCCAGCCTCTGCTTCCCTAATGCCATGCCTGGTTGTGTGAGGCATTTCCTGCTCAAACCAAAACTCACACTCCGCAGCTCCAGGGCATGCCTAGCCTTGTTCCTTAGTTCTTTACTTATGGCTGAAATAAATAATGCTATGATTTCAGTCCCTCGCCAACATTTATACTGAGGGCTGGGGAGATGGCTCGTCAACAAAGTGCTTGCCTTGCAATCATGAGGACCTGAATTCAGATCCCTAGAACCCATGTTAAAAAAAAACTGGATATGGGGCTGGATAGATGGCTCAGTAGTTTAGAGCACTTGCTGTTCTTACAGAGGACCCAGGTTTGAGTCCCAGCACCCACATGGTGGCTAACAGCTGTCTGTAACTCCAGTTCCAGAGTATCTGACACCCTCTTCTGACCTCCACAGACATTGTATGACATGGGTGCATTTACACATGTGCAGGCAATACATTCATACACATAAAATAAAAAAATAATAAAATATTTATAAAAAATAGCTGGGTGTGGTGGCACATGCTTGTAATCTTTGAATCTCTGTGCTCAGGCAGACAGAAGGATCCTCTGGGACTCTATGGCCAGCCAGCCTAACCTATTTGGTAAATTCCAGGATAGTGAGAGACCAAGTCTCAAACAAAGGGGGCACCCAAGGTTGTCCTGTGTCCTCTACATGTAAACACACATGCACACACACCTGATGCAAACACATACACATACACACACATATGCCACACTCACATTGACATTTCACCCCAATGGTGAGCTACTAGGAGGAAGGATTTAGAAAATGATTGGGCCAGAGTGGTGGTCCCAGCATTTGGGATGTAGAGATAGGAGGATCGGAGGATTAAGGCCATCCTCTACTAAATCATAAGTTCAAGGTCAACTTGGGATACATGAGACCCTTTCTTATGGGGGTAAGAAGTGATTAGGTCATAAGGGCTCTGTCCTCATAATGAGGTAAGGCATTCACAGACCAGCAGTTAGCATGTAAATGGGCTGTTTTAGAGTGGGGGGTGTTGTAGGAGCCAGCGTGGCTGTATCTTGTATCTGCCTCTCTTGCTCTGTGTTGTCCAGTGCCAGCTTAGGGCATGGTTGCCATCTATGAGAATGACTTCACCAGACAGATGCAGCCTCTCGACCGCTCATTTTCCAGTACTATGAACTGAATAAACTTTCCTTTTTTTTTTCCTCTTGTCTTTTTGAGACAGGGTCTCCCTGTATCCCTAGCTTTCCTGGAACTCACTATGTAGACCAGGCTGACCTCGAACTCACAAAGATCCGCCTGCTTCTGCCTCCCAAGTGCTGGGATTAAAGGCCTGTGCCACCACGCCTGGCAATAAACTTTTTATTTATTTATTTATTTATTTATTTATTTATTTATTTATTCATTCATTCATTCATTTTGGTCTTTTTGAGAGCAGCCCCAGCTGTCCTGGAACTCACTATGTAGACCAGGCTAGCCTTGAACTCACAGGGATCCGCCTTCCTCTGCCTCCCGAGAGCTGGGATTAAAGACGTGTGCCACCACGCCTGGCCAAACTTTACGTTTTTTATAACCACGTACTCTGTGGCTTTCAGTTATAGAAACAGTAAGTGAACTCACTATGTAGACCAGGCTGGCCTTGAACTCACAGGGATCAGCTGTCCTGGAACTCACTATGTAGACCAGGCTGGCCTTGAACTCACAGAGATCTGCCTGCCTCTGCCTCTCAAGTACTGGGATTAAAGGCGTGTGCCACCATGCCCAGCTCAAGCCCTTTTTAAATTTTAGATTGAGACAGGGTCTCACTCTTACCCTGAATTGGCAGCCGTCCTGTCTCATCCTCCTGGGTTCTAGAATTATAGGTGTGCACCACCAAATTGGAAATTCTTTTGTTCGTTTATCATTCTTTTGTTCTTAAAAATTGGAAACTTGGGGCTGAGGATATAGCTCAGTTGTTCAGGTACTTGCCTAGCAAGCATGAAGCCCTGGATTCAATCCTCAGCACCATAAGCCAGATGTGGTGGCACATGCCTATAATTTCAGGTGTGGGCAGGAGGATCAGAAGTTCAAGATCATCCTTGAGATACATGCAAGTTTAAGGGAATTGTGGGCTACAGGAGATCTTGTCTCAAAAATTCTTTTGAAACTCTAAAGAATATATTTTATTCATATTTTTAAAAATTTAACCTGGGTCCTCTACATGAACACCCAGTGCTCTTAACTGTTGAGCCATCTCTCTAGCCCCTTGGAAACTTTTTTGAATGCTGACATTGATGTTCAAAATATTTTGGATTGCCGGGCGTGGTGGCTCATGCCTGTAGTCCCAGCACTTAGGAGGCAGAGGCAGGCGGATCTCTGTGAGTTCAAGGCCAGCCTGGTCTACATAGTGAGTTCCAGGACAGCTGGGGCTACAGGGAGACCCTGCTTCAAACAAACAAACTAACAAACAAACCAGCTGCAATGAGAAAAAAAAAATTAAAAAAAAATATTTTGGATTATGGAGTCCCCAAACTTAAGATTTTCAAAAAATTTAAAATTACATTTATTTAGTATGTGTGTGAACACACACGCCATGGAATAGGGAGGTCAGAGGACAACTTACAGGAGTTAGTAAGTTGCTAGTTCTCTCCTTCTACCATGTGGGTTCTGGAGGTTGAACTCAGGTCATCAGGCTTGGCAGCAAGTACCTTCACCTCACTGAGCCATCTTGCCAGTCCTGGACTTCAGATTTTCAGATTAGGGATGCTCACTTGGCAATCTTGGCAAATATTTCCCAATATGAAGAATTAAAGTAAAAAACATAGTCCTGGTTTGGACCTCCATTGGGGTAGCGGCTGGGAGCTTAGCAGACTACCCAGAGAGTGTCAGGTTCTGGTGTCCCTCTGGCCTCCAACTACCAGAGGGCCTGAGAATCCAGGGGACAGCCTGACAGCCCTGGGATCCATGTGGTGGTCCTTTTTTTTTTTTTTTGGTCTTTTTGAGACAGGGTCTCCCTGTAGCCCCAGCTGTCCTGGACCTATGTAGACCAGGCTGGCCTGGAACTCACAGAGATCCACCTGCCTCTGCCTCCCTGCCTCCCAAGTGCTGGGACTACAGGCGTGCACCACTATGCCCGGCTGTGGTGGTCCTTTTAATAAGATGCTATACAGCAGTCCCTTCTACATGAAATAACTACCATCATCACGACTTCAGCTAAGCCTGATGGCTAAACATAGTCACAATTGGGCTTGCTGACGGTTGTGCTCATTCATTAAAGGAGTGCCAGGCAGGGTCACTGGACCCTCACCTAAGTATTCAGCCACTCTTCCCAGCCAACTAGTCCAGCCTTGGAAGACAAAAGGAAAATGAGGAAGAACACAATAGAGGGATGCTTTTGGAAGCCCTTGTCAAGAAACTCCAATGGACTCTCATATGAACATTTGAAAATTGCCCTGTTCTGACTTTTTTCTAGTTCCCTGTCTAGAACTTGTAATGCTAATTACTCTTGCCTTTACTTCTCCTTCACATC